AAAAAATAACCATCAAGATTCTTTTTAAAAAATTGCCTTTGACTGACTGACTGAATGTCTGATCGATTGTTTTGAGACAGGGTCTTGCTATGTAGTTCAGGCTGGCCTTGAATTCACTATGCAGCTCAGGCTGGCCTTGAACTCAGGGTGATCCTCCCGCCAGCCTCCTGGGATTACAGGTGTGTGCCACCATGCCTGGCTAAAAACTATTTTAAATGGAAGGCATTGTAGGATGATTGCGGTTGTCTTGTGGACACATTTGCTAGATTTAGAAAATCCTAGGAAATTATGCAGTCAAAGTTTTTTTTTTTTTTAACTAACACATTAAATGGAGAGGCATGTGCTTTAAGAAATAGATTCTATCATTAATTTCCATAAGAATTTTTCATCTAGTTCCGTTTCATCTAGTTTCATCTAGTTCATCCTGCTCTTTTAAACTAGAGTCCCTTTGCATAAAATTAAGTATTCATTCCTTATCTACCCTGAACAAATCTTGGACTCAAAACACAGTCTACTTTTCTGTATATGCCAGGGGCCAAGACGATTTTGCTGTATTTGCTACAGAGACTGTAAGGCCGAAAAGTCCCAAATATTTACTAACTGATCCTTTTCAGGGAAGTGTGTGGTCTCCTGACCCAGGCGATACATTTTCTATCTGTAAGTCAGATGGTCAACACTAATCCATAGGTGATTCGGATGTTACCTGTGATTCTGCCAGCAAGTAGATCCAAATCAAGCCTAATTTAATTCTGTTTAACCAATATTTACTTATTGAGGGACTACTAAGTGACAGTCTCAGCTTGGGGGCTGGGCATATAGTGGTGAACACAGCTAGGCTATATTTCCTAGAGGAATCAGGATATAAACAATTTCAATACAACATAGTAAGGCATCAGAGTCGAATTTGATGTTTTATTCTTCCTATAAAGTATACCGTGGGAACCTGACCTCTATATTCTTTAAAGCTTTGAAATTTTAAAACCATAACCATGGGCTAAGATTTCTTTCTGCTGTTACTTTAAAAACATAAATATTAGAGATGAAACTCTAATTCTGTGAAATTGCCCATTAACTTTTGCAGGAAAGATCAACTTACTGGAATTTTTTATAATTGCCAAATTTGCTCCGGGCTCTTTAATATACAGTTCTAATCTCTATTTTGAGAAAAGAAAAGAGATGAGGTATCCAGACATCAGGGAAACACGGCCAGTTAAAGCACCAGACTCCTGTTTTTTAAGATTGAGTTTTTAAATTGCAATCCACAGAGTCACATACTAACCTTCTGCTGAAAGAGGCATGAGGGATGGAAACAATGTCCAGCTTTGACCACGATTTCATTATCTACTATCTGTCTTTGCAATTCCAACTAGGTGTCGAGTGAATTAAGAGGAAAACCAATTTCTACATCCCTTGGATGTGATGAAAATGATTATCCTCAGGCAGAGCAAAAGAAGACAGAAAATAACAGGTGGCGCTTCACATCTGTGTATCTGTCCTGCCCTCATATCTGTTTATTTGTACCAGTTATTGACGTTTTTGTATCATACAAATAAGGCTTTTTATTGAGCTTCAAAAGTAGAAACAGGATGTGTTCGTTTCTAGGGAAACCTGAGCTTGGAAGCTCTTGGGTTTTGAATCACAGAGCGCATTCCTACATACAAGGTGGCCTATTATATAGTGACATCCCTTCCTCCTCATTTACTTCATCCCATTTAAAAAAATTAATGCAACGATGGGAGATGATTGTTGATGCTCATTATTAAATCATTTATTCATCCCACACAATGATTCAGAATTATTCATTAAACTTGCTGGAAGTAGGGTTTTACTTCCATGGTGGTATGGGGAGGGATGTGTTCTTTAAAAGGATATTTTATAACAACACAATTATCATAATTAAAAGCTACCCTGATAGTCTGATGAGCTTCTGACATATTTTTGAGTACTGGCATTTTAGCACGAGGAGATAAATGAGACTGAAATAGTACTGGGGAATAAGATTGCCATGGGGGGAAAAAAACCTGGAGGCAACATTAAATACCACCTGCCATCATCACCTCCAATGTTATTCAGGTCTTTAAATTAACAAATTTTACAAAATATCACTTGAACTTCTGGGTTTGCAGATGAGTTCAAACTGTATTGTGAGCCCAGTATTGTGAGCCCACATTGCCTGTGTCCTTGAACTGAGTATGTAAATATCTGCATGGAGCCTGCCTACTTGTGCCTCCCAACCCAGTAGGTCACTCAGTGACCTGAAAGATTCTGAACTGCATCTGTTGGAGGTAGGCCCAGGTTTATTCTGTGTCTGAAGGTTATTAAGCAAAGGGATTGGTTTGATAAGCCACCCAAACTGACTGTAGGAAGGCTCCCATCTCTCTGGTTTTCCTTGATTAAGCAGATGTAGGTGAAGATCCTAAGATCAGTGGCCTCAGGTGATACCTGGGGAAACTGCGGAGGGGGCACTCAGGGAGGCAGAAACTGACTGCTGAGTGACCCTGGAAGGCTGGCAGGTAGATCAGGGCAGAGGGATGCCCTGGTAGCTTTCCTTGGGACCGAACACCAGGGACGCCATGGGACGGGATGGGAGGGAGTGCCGATGGTCTGGAACATACAGTGGAAAGACTGTGCCCGCAGCTCTATGGGAGCCTGGACTCACTCTGTGTGTGTCAGGCAGAGGGCGAGTGCTGGACAACTAGTGCACTGGGTCAGCTGGCCACTGAGCACACAAATGTGAATCAAAGACTCCTGCTCCTTCATTCATCCCACAAACACAGATGAAGCTTCACTATGAGCCTAAGAGCTGAGCTAGGCCTCCTGAGTGCAGAGGCGGGGTGGGGGTGGGGGAGCAATTTCCTTGCCGTCAAGGAGCTGAGAGTCTATTGAGGGATTTGCACACATCAATACTTGAAAATCCATTTGCCAAGTGCTGGGATCAAGGAAAGCTGAGGAAGCTTGAGGCGAGGGGAACATTACACAGAGGAGGTCAAGGGTGAGTGGGCTTGGCCAGGCGATACGATATGGAGGAGGCCAGAGGGAAAAACGGCAACTTCTGGAATGGAGAGGAACTGGGTCTCGTCCTGGGCTGGGGAGGTCAGGACCCTCTTGTGGTCCCCCTGGGTTGCTGGAGGAGAATGGGCAAGAGTAGAGCAAGCAGCATTCTGGACTGAGAGATGCCACTAGGACCCAGGTGAGACAGCGGTGACTGAAAGAAGAGGTTGGGCTGGATAGAAAAAAAAGAGTAGAATTAAGCTGATATAACATATCAGAGACTCTGCAGGCAAGGAGGCCCCTACTGGACTTGGAGCCCTCAGGACACTGGGGCCTGATGCCATTCCCAGTGGAAAAAGGAGACTAACCCCCTACTCTGCCTCTTGTTTAGCAAGCAACAGCCTGATTATAATTTGGCTTCTCGCACAGCTCTGCTCATGGGAAGAGGCTGCTGCATGGATGCGGCAGGGGGAGGACTCTGTCCTGCTCTGATCAATCAACTGGCACTATGAATTGTACTGGAGTCACATGGGTGACCCCTCGGAGGCTTTGGGTGTGGGGACACCCTGGACCCTGAGCCTGCAGAGTTGCTGCACTCCAGTGTGATGCAATGCCTCATTCTGGGTCTCTGGGTATGTGGAGTCTTCCTCATACCTGGGATGGTAGCGGGCAACATGTGCTCTGCCCTTAGATGGGAAACCCAGAGCAGATGCTGCTCAAGAACTGGTTAACAAGAGTGGAAAATGAAGAGCAACCAGGGATCGGCATCTGTATCACTTGCCATTTTCTATGAAAAGAATTGCATCAGGGGCATTAAATATTCTCCTGGCTTTATTCTCTGTCACAGAACAGCCTCCATGGTGGAGATGATTCCACTTTGACACTTTACTTCCTTGGAATCAGGATGGTTTTCTGCACCAACTGAAGCATGGCATAAAATTTCAAAGGCCTTTAACAGAAGTTTTCCAACTTTGTCTCTGTAGAATAGTTGGAAAAAGTCTCCAATTACGGGAGCCTTTTGTAAAATGTCTCAGAAACACAGAAGGGCCTATTGTACCTTTCACAAGTACGTGAAACCCATTTAATACTCAAGGATGAAAACAAGGGGAACAGGATTTAAAAAAAAATAAATGATTTACTCCTGGTGCAAATGCTTTCCCCTTCCCACGTAACAAATAAAAGAAGATACTTGTATTTTTGAAGTGTTTTATACAAGTAAGCTCTAGAAAGACCTGAAAGGAGGAATTAAGACCAGCTGTCAAAGTTGGAAGCCTGCCGAGATCCTGTAACTCAAGGGCTCTCACGAGGAAAGATGAGGTGTGGGCTGAGGTGAGAGGGTGCACCACTGGAAGCTTAGTCTCACTGTCACAAACAGGCTGTCTCCATTTTTTTATGTATAATTGACCAAAAGTCTACAGCATGATGAGATCAGGCTACATACATTTCTCTCTTCTGAGTCAAGAACGGAACTCAATCCATCTCACTAGAAGCAAATTAACAAGGCCCAGGACCCGTCCATTAAAGTCACATTCCATGACTTCCTGGGTCACACTTGACTTCTGCTGGTGGGAAGCTTGGCTCTTTAGAACCAGCTGTCCCTGAGCCAGTTCCTGTTTCCCAGAGAAATGAGGAGAAAGACATCCCTGCCTTGTGCCATGTCCTGAGGCACATGCAACCACATTCAGACCTGACCTGTGGCCCCCATGTTGGGCACCCCCATCCTCAACTGGGAGCAGCTACCACAGATTTACAGGCTCGTGTGGCTAAGGTCTGTCCTAAATGTCTGTATTTTACTCCTCACAACCATCCTATTAAGAGAGCTACTGATTTACCAGTGAGGAAACTGAGGCTCTAAAGGATTAGGAAGCTTATCCAAAGCCACACAGCTGGTGAGGGGTAGAACTTGGACCAGAGCCCAGTTCTATCCAAAGCTGGTCCTCTTCCCTCTTTGCTAGGTTGCAGAGAGGCTGGCGAAGGGCCTGCTCCAGAACCCCATGCCTGAGGCCTACCTGCACCAGTGAACTTGTCTGCTAGTTCCTTGCGCACAGCCTTGGTGAGGTTGAAGTAGCCGTCCTCCTCATCGATGCTGTGCACGAACAGCGGGATATGCTGGAAGATGATGGCATGCCGGCACTTCCGTTGTCCTGCGATGCTCAGCTGCTGGTCCAGCCAGTGGTCCTGGGCCTGCTTCAGAGCCGGGCACTGGGAAGCATTGTACCAGAATTGGGAGTTGAGCACCAGGAACAAGACACCCCCGACCCAGAAGCTGAAGTAGTCGTCTCCCCACGTCCGGGAGAACTCCTCGATGGTCTCTGCTGTGGGGACATTGCCCAGGTCATGGTTGCCACTGACAAGGACCAGCGGGATTTCCCTGTCAAGGTCCCTGAGCACCCGCTGCAGGTCCTCAGTCTGCTCCTGGCGCCAGGGGGTCCCTGAAAGACCAAAGGTCACAGACTGAGAGGCCTGGGGGCAATTTATGTATTTAATAATAAAACTACGTCAGATAATAATCTAGAAATTCACTCAACCAGGCACACACAAACTACAAAAAGTAGTCACCTGCTAAAAACAAATCAATTAGTAGGGCTGGGGATTTAGCTCAGTGGTTTTGCTGCCTGCTGTGCAGGCGCAAGAACCTGAGTTCGATCCCTGGTACCAAAAAAAATTAAAAAAATAAAAACTAAAAACAAATCAATTAGTGAGGCAGGTGCCTTTGTTTGTCCCTTTGCACTGAACTCCTCCCACCCTTCCTGGGGGCACCTTGGGAATTCAATGTCCATGTGGCCATCTGCCCCACATTGCTGAGTGTTATAGTTATACCTAGGTGTCTGCCTAAAGCCTCAAGTGATCAAAGGTGGACCTTTGGAACATGATTAGATTACAGGGAATTTTGGCAAGATGCACATGCCTATTGATCAAGCCATTTGGTTTCTGGGACTTTGTCCATAAAGGTGCTGACAAAGACTGCAGGGCCATGTGGATGGTAAGAAAACCTTAAATAGCCACCTGCTGGTCTGATATTCAAAGCCAGATCCACACATTGCAGGGGTGCCCATGATTCACCACTGATAGGAGAAAAGTTGTAGCCATCTATATTTTAGTGTTCTCAGAAATGAAACAAATTAAGCTTCACTAATATTTTATATCAAGATCAACTCCACATGGTTACTCAATGTCTTAATCATATTCTTGTTGCTGAGACATAATAACTGACACTCACAAATTAAAGGAGGAAAGGTTTATTTTGGCTCCCAGTTTGTAGATGTTTCAGTCCATAGTCAGCATGGTGGAGGAAAAGTTGCTCGCCTCTTGGCAGCCAGGAATCAGAGAGCTCAGGAGGAGCCAGGAAGGGAGACACAACCTCCTGGGTGGACCCACGGTGGCCCGGCTCTTCTGACCACACCCCACCTCCTAACATATATTAATCTTAAAAAGGTTTACACATACTCATGTATTATGTATTAAGGATTATGAATAAAACACTTCCAAAGATTCAAAGAATCTGACTCTGGTTAATTAATTAGAAATAGAGAGGGGAGAGACTCTTTCTGTCTCTTTCCTCCTTCCTTTATCAGGTGCTGACTAATTTTAAGGCATGAATTAGTTACTGGAGATAAGCTGGAAGCCAACTAGACACAAATTCTTCCGTCTAAACTAGGGAGTCAGGTAATTTGCCAACTGAATTACAGATGTGCCCCCAACTGTCTCTGATGTCATATAGAGTTACTGAGAAAAGCAAAACAGGATAAGGATGTTACTTCCAGCACCATGCTAGTTCTGAGGGATATACTTGGTATCAGAGATGCAAAGACAGTATAAGAAAAATGATGGGAAAAAGCAGGCCAATTTCCCTGGGGATGATGAAAACCTACCTAAAAAATGATGCATAAGTGATGAAAGTTAAACTCAACATTCCATTATGAATTAAAAAGAAAGCTAGAGCTGGGGATTTAGCCCAGCGGCACAGTGCCTGCCTGACAAATGTGAGGTCCTGAGTTTGATCCCGGGTACCAAAAAAAAAAAAAAAAGAAAGCTAGAATGACTGTAGTTGAGAACGATTTATTGTGTATTTCAGACGAGATTGGGCACGTTCAGGGTGGTATGCTGTAGACTATTGTGTATTTCAAAAACAAGAAGGGAAGATTTTGAATGTTCCCTACACAAAGAACCAATGAATGTTCAAAGTGATGGCTGTTCTCGTTAGCCTGATTTGGTCACTACACATTGTTCATGTGAATCAGTACATCACAGTACACTCCATAAATATATACAATCATTATATGCATATTAAAAGTAAAAATAAAAAAGAAATCAAAAAGTCCTTATGAAGTAATTACAGTTAAGGAAGATCCTAATGCAGAATTAAAGGGCTTCAGAGTTCCTACAGTCATAAAACAGCACACGTGAAACAGAAACCCACAGAACTCAGGAAAGAAATGGAGGAAAAAGACAAAACCAATTCACAAATGATATCTGCAAAGAGACTACTGTTAGTGAGATTTCTTTTATGGTCAAGCACATCCCAGGTGCTGTGCAGATCCCAGGTGAGCTTGTGTCTTTCCTAACTGTTGCGCACCTAGCTCCTCACAATCCCACTCAATCAAACTCCTTCATAGGGTGGTTTAAATCTCCTATGTCACACTTTCCTTTTGGCTTGTTGATATATATTAGTTTCTGAGAGACTTGGTTAAGTTGCCATTGTGACTGTGGATTGATCCATTTCTCTTTGTAATTCTGCCAAGTTTTAATGTCATTTATTTTTAGTTACATTGTTAGATGCATCAGAGTTCAGAATTTCAGCATCTCACTGAAATGTTTTTATATATAATTCTAATAACATAAAAAAATAAAAAGAAGAGCTATATTGATGCTACAAGAAGATCTTTAATATGTATTAAGTTAAAAACGTAAGGCATGGAGGAGTAAAATCAGATATGAATTTTTAAAAGGCTTACAGATATTCATGTATTATAGATAAAACATATCCAAGATTCAAAGAATCTGACTCTGGTTAATTATGAGAAATAGAAATAGGGAGGGGAGACACTTTTTATGTCTCCTTCCTGCTTCCCTCCTTTCTTTTCCCAAGCTTACATACCATTTTTGGTAGAGAGGAAAAGAGGGAGGGAAAGAGAAGGTTAGGGAGGAAAGAAGAAAGGATGAAAAAATATTTTTTAAAAGAGGTGCTTTTTACTCAGATCCTAGGGCTTAAGGATAACTTAGGTCAGTTGGGCTGGGGATTTAGCTCAGTGGTTTCACCACCTGCTGCGCAAGCGCAAAGACCCTTGTTCAATCCCCAGTACCAAAAAAATAAAAAAACAAACAAAGATAACTCAGGTCATTCAGGCAGCTGTACTCCAGACACTGGAGTTCTACCTGTACTCAGCCTCTGCCTCTCGATTGGTCCTGGCTGGAGCTGGGGCCCAGACTTGCAGGTGTCGTGGACTGATGTGGCTTCTTTAGCTGAACCTGGACTATGGGCATCTGTGCTGATTTATATGATCCCCTCTGAGACTCTACTGGTTGTTCTTCTATGCGAACAGTCTGCTCGTTCAGGCCTTTAACACGGCAAACTACCTCAAAGGTACTCTACAAATCAATGCTAATTTGTCACTATTTTCCTTGTTGGGTTTTCTAAAAGACACCAAACCCACTGCTAGCCTTCCTTCTTCCTATGCATACTGATTTGGGGGTTTTCCAATGTTTAGTAATAGCCAACACTCCCCTAGCACTTCCTGGGGGCAGGGCACTGATCTGGCAAGTGCACTTAAGGCAAATGCAGCAGCTTACCAGAGTGGGACAACCAGTGATGGCAGTGGGGCTTGAACTACACACTTAGTGCACAGAGCTGCCCGCATTACAGAGCTGCATCACAAGCAAAGGTAATAGCTTCAGGGTGACACCCCTGAGCTGTCCTAATACACAGGACAAGGACTTTACCAAACAGTGAGATGCAGAATATCTCCCAGTCCTGATTTTAAGGATATTCACTTTTCTCTTCACATTGTAATGGAAACAGACCAGGGAATGTAAGAGCAGGCATGAGTTAATGAGCATAAACAGAAAAGCATGAGCACTTCAAAAGAAAGGTTGACTCAAGGAAAGGAGACTTTGTCTTCAGAGTAATCTGCACCAGAAAACTGTGTAATGTGATTATCTGTTTCCAAACCTCCTAAGGATACTATTTGGGGGGAAATCACAAATATCCTTCAATAACCTGTTAAAAACATGAAATCATCTTCCCCAAATCTCCCCAGTTGGAGATGAGCCTCTCTTGTATAGCTTTTCCAGTGCTTTCAATACCTCTCCTCTGCTGTCAAGCACTGGAAGGGGACCCAGTGAGTCGGCGCCTTGGTCCTTGGCCCTTGTCACTTATAAACTGCATGTCCTCGGGCAAGTTTCTCTGTTCCTCTGAGCCTTGGTCTCATTGTGTATGAAATTGATGATAACTCACAAACCCCTGGTGCAGGTCTAAGGATTCATATCAAGATAATGATGGCCAGAGTCTGGTATAATAAACAAGTCTGCAAAAATGTTAGTTATCTTCCCCCCCCAACCCAAATATAACAAATTCTTCCCTTTTTAATCAGTGACCTACTGGGTGTACATAACAATCAATAAATCGTTTCTGAACGAATGAAAACATTCGCTGAGGACATAATTTTCAGTTAAGAATTTAGAAGTAAAAGAGTGAATTCTAGATTACATAAAGCCAACTTTAATGAAAATATTTGCAGTATGTTTAATAAGCTCTCATTTGTGTGTATCAGAATCTCTTGGGGATCAGAATACCAATAACACCTTACCATTATCATAGCTCACAGCACATCTTCCTAAAAACTGGCATGGTATTACAGCAAATGTACAAGAACCTGAAGCCTAACCCCAGGCTCCACAAGACCTAATACCGCCACCACAAACAAGAAAGACGGCAACCTGGACAAGGCTGTGAGTTTCCTACATCTCAGGGGGCTCTGCCCTTCACAGAAAGGATGCACACAGAGAACGGACAGGGAGGGAGGTGGAGAAGAAGGGAAAAGACTGAAAAACTGCAATGCAGAAATGGCTTAGAAGGAAAGAGAGGACTGTTAGGAGAGCGTCTTCAAGACGGATGAGAGGTATTTGCTGAGAAATGAGTAGGAAGCAAGCAGGGACCGTGACGTGAGCAGATCCCTGTCTTGACTGAGAGGATGCCCAGGTGGGACCAACAGAAGTATAGAAAGCTGTGAAATGTTTAAACATTTTAAAACCTTTTTAAAAAGTGCACTGAGAGTGCTGTGAGGCCAAGGCAGGAGGAGCCCAAGTTTGAGCTCTGTGTGGGCAATTTAGTGATTTAGTGAGGCCCTGTCTCAAAAATAAAGATAATCAGGGCAGGGGACTTAGCTCAGTGGTTGCCACCACCTGCCTCGCATGCGCAAGGTCAAGTTCGATC